GTAGGGCGGGCGGTGGGATTTCTCCTTAAGGGGTGAGGGGAGGTGGCAGCCGAATCCCTCGGGCTGTGGCTGGTCGAGTGGGACCCGAGCCAGCCTCCGTGCGGTATCTTGGCCTGGTGCCGGCCAGGGCCGCTTCCAGGAGCCCGTGGGAAACGCCGAGCTGGGGGGAGGGGGGGCTGAGCCCAGCAGCGTCAGGGCAGGAATGTTCTTCGGAAACAGTTGACTGGGGTTTACTACTCGACAGCGAACCCGTCGGGATTGTTCGGGTCGGCGCTTTGTAGCACGTGCGCAGTATACAAACATCGCCAACTGACTGGAGGGCGTGTGTGTCACCCCTGAAAGAAAGCCCCGCCCAGTGGCAGTCATCTCCACTCCCCAGCCCTGCCCCAGCCCGGCAGCCGCCCCCGCTGGGCCTGGGTCCGGGCCGGACTCCGCAGGATCTGACGCTGGCCTGTCCGGAGCCTCCCTGGCGGCTGGGCAGTGGTCTGCAGCCTGCAGGCGTGTGCTGTGTGCTGGTGTCGGGAGAGCGGGGGCATCTTTGGGGGAGTGGCTGTGATTGCAGAGCACGCTCACTGGAACCCCGGCCAGGGCCCTGAGCCAGATGAGACTGCAGTGAGGAGAATAGTCCTCGAACGCCAGCACCAGGAGACAGCTGTTTAAGACTGAGTAGCTGCGCGGGGCTCTCCCTCCTGGTGCAGAGCTCTGCTGCGGTGGTTTTCGGGAGACTGAGTCGGAAGGTCCTTTGGAAAGAGCGATTGCAGTAAATACTATGAAATGTCTATTGTTAAACCTTAATTGGAAGCTCACTGCCCCAGTAGGAAATAGTCCTGCTAAGACCAGTCACTGATGGTGTCAGGTTTGCTGCTAGAGCTGCACCCCAGTCCCTGGCCTGTGGCCGCTGCTGCGGCTCACCCTCAGTCTGCACGCGCCTGTCCCCCAGAGGCTTCTCTTTGTGAGCTGGAAGAACCCGGGAGGGGATCTCTTCACTCAGAGCATCCCCTTGGCTACCACGTGGCGCCTCCCTCATGGCACCCGCCTGGGCAGCACCCCCACGCCTCACTTCACTTTCAGGTGCAGGCGGGGGCAGGGACAGTCTCAGGTGCTGCCCCCCCCCCACCTGCACCCAAGGCCACAAGCTCAGACCGGAACCAGTTTTCAGATCCCTGAGCCAAGCGCTTCCCTCGGGATCATGACCCCTCGTGTCTTCACCCTACACCCTTCACTGTTTCCTGTGAGCTCCCATCTGCCTGTGACCTGCCACGGGTTCTAGCTGTCCTTGGTGACCAGAGCAGGACCTGACCTCACATGCACGGGCCTCCACAGCAGCACTTCACCGTTCTGTGCGCCCCTGGCCGGCAGTGACGAGGCTGGTTTTGTTCGTTTGCACCCGTTGAAGGAAGAGACAAATGGTAAAGACCGTGGAGACTGTCCTCAAATATTTGCCATTGTTGTTGCTTCCATGTCTAGCCCTGTGGGACAGGTGTGTGCGCACGTGTGCGTGTGTGTGTGCATGTGTGCACCCCCCCATTCCGCAGGCCTGCCTTCCCAGGTGTGTGTGTGTGCATATGTGTGCACACACCCCCCCCATTCCGCAGGCCTGCCTTCCCAGGTGTGTGTGTGCATGTGTGCACCCCCCCCATTCCACAGGCCTGCCTTCCCAGGTGTGTGTGTGCATATGTGTGCACCTCCCCCCCATTCCGCAGGCCTGCCTTCCCAGGTGTGTGTGTGCATATGTGTGCACCCCCCCCCATTCCGCAGGCCTGCCTTCCCAGGTGTGTGTGTGCATATGTGTGCACACCCCCCCCCCATTCCGCAGGCCTGCCTTCCCAGGTGTGGTGGTGCACATGTGTGCACCCCCCCCATTCCGCAGGCCTGCCTTCCCAGGTGTGTGTGTGCATGTGTGCACCCCCCCCCATTCCGCAGGCCTGCCTTCCCAGGTGTGTGTGTGCATATGTGTGCACCCCCCCCATTCCGCAGGCCTGCCTTCCCAGGTGTGTGTGTGCATGTGTGCACCCCCCCCCCATTCCACAGGCCTGCCTTCCCAGGTGTGTGTGTGCACATGTGTGCACCCCCCCCCCATTCTGCAGGCCTGCCTTCCCAGGTGTGTGTGTGCATATGTGTGCACACCCTCCCCCATTCCGCAGGCCTGCCTTCCCAGGTGTGTGTGTGCATATGTGTGCACACCCCCCCCCATTCCACAGGCCTGCCTTCCCAGGTGTGTGTGTGCACATGTGTGCACCCCCCCCATTCCGCAGGCCTGCCTTCCCAGGTGTGTGTGTGCACACCCCCCCCATTCCACAGGCCTGCCTTCCCAGGTGTGTGTGTGCACATGTGTGCACCCCCCCCATTCCGCAGGCCTGCCTTTCCAGGTGTGTGTGTGTGCATATGTGTGCACACACCCCCCCCCATTCCGCAGGCCTGCCTTCCCAGGTGTGTGTGTGCATGTGTGCACCCCCCCCCATTCCACAGGCCTGCCTTCCCAGGTGTGTGTGTGCATATGTGTGCACCCCCCCCATTCCACAGGCCTGCCTTCCCAGGTGTGTGTGTGCATATGTGTGCACCTCCCCCCCATTCCGCAGGCCTGCCTTCCCAGGTGTGTGTGTGCATATGTGTGCACACACCCCCCCCCATTCCGCAGGCCTGCCTTCCCAGGTGTGTGTGTGCACACCCCCCCCATTCCACAGGCCTGCCTTCCCAGGTGTGTGTGTGCACATGTGTGCACCCCCCCCATTCTGCAGGCCTGCCTTCCCAGGTGTGTGTGTGCATGTGCGCACCCCCCCCCATTCCGCAGGCCTGCCTTCCCAGGTGTGTGTGTGCATGTGCGCACCCCCCCCCATTCCGCAGGCCTGCCTTCCCAGGTGTGTGTGTGCATGTGTGCACCCCCCCCCCATTCCACAGGCCTGCCTTCCCAGGTGTGTGTGTGCATGTGTGCACCCCCCCCCCATTCCGCAGGCCTGCCTTCCCAGGTGTGTGTGTGCATGTGTGCACCCCCCCCCATTCCGCAGGCCTGCCTTCCCAGGTGTGTGTGTGCATGTGTGCACCCCCCCCCATTCCGCAGGCCTGCCTTCCCAGGTGTGTGTGTGCATGTGTGCACCCCCCCCCATTCCGCAGGCCTGCCTTCCCAGGTGCAGCCGCCCTGGCCTGGCTCAGCTCACCTGTGTGGAGCCCCAGCCACATTTCCGGCCCCAAACTCTTTCCTTCCTCCTCTGGTTCGGGGCTCCCGACCCAACCTTGGACTTGAGCTGGACGGTGGCCCTGTGACAGGAAAGCTGGCAGTCCTCCCGGAGAGACTGTAGCCTCAGAAAGCATCCCAGGAAAATGTCGCAGGCACCCCCTCCCTAAGGTTTTGCAAGGGTTCAGGCTGCCGTGTTGGGGAGTGTCAGAATGCCTTTGTTCCCACTTCGGGTTTGGAAATAAATGCAGTGCCTGTGGGTCAGACAGGTCCCACTCCACGCCAGCTGCCAGCGCCCCCCCGGGACAACGTGCAGCCATCCGCTCCGGCTCTGGAGAGTCGGCCCTGGCCAGTCGACCCAGCGGGATCACCAGTCTCTGTGTGCGCGGTGCGAAGGCCGTCAGAGCCGGTCCCTGCAGTCAGTCCCAGCGTGGGTGCAGTCTCCCGGGGGGACCCTCAGGGTCTCGGACCCAGTGGGGTCACCAGTCTCTGTGGCGGTGCGGAGGCCGTCAGAGCCGGTTCCTGCAGTCAGTCCCAGCGTGGGTGCAGTCTCCCGGGGGGACCCTCGGGGTCTCGGACCCAGCGGGGTCACTGATCTCTGTGGCGGTGCGGAGGCCGTCAGAGCAGGTTCCTGCAGTCAGTCCCAGCGTGGGTGCAGTCTCCCGGGGGGACCCTCAGGGTCTCGGACCCAGTGGGGTCACCAGTCTCTGTGGCGGTGCGGAGGCCGTCAGAGCCGGTTCCTGCAGTCAGTCCCAGCGTGGGTGCAGTCTCCCGGGGGGACCCTCGGGGTCTCGGACCCAGCGGGGTCACTGATCTCTGTGGCGGTGCGGAGGCCGTCAGAGCAGGTCCCTGCAGTCAGTCCCAGCGTGGGTGCAGTCTCCCGGGGAGGCCCTCAGGGTCTCGTGCCCTGTGCAAGCTAGTCTACAATCTTGTTTTTCTGAAACTGTTTTACTCAGAGAAAAGGGAAATCAAGTAAAGGGGACGTTTGCCATGTCTTGGGAGGCTGGGGCCAGGTCTGTGGCTGAACGAGAGAGCAGACAGGAGGGGTGTGACCAACGCCTTTCTCAGCACCTGGAGCGCACTGAGGGGGACGTCCCCACATTGGTCTGAGCCCCTCTTTTACAAAGAGCCTTTTCCGAGCGGTTGCTGCAGGTGGACCGTCGCTTGTCTGTGGGCAGCCTGCTCTCACCGGGGTTTCCGTGTTAACGGAGTCACGCCATTAACGCCATGGGCTGACTTGTCAGCTTAGATTTTGGAAGGTGCTGGGTAAGCAATGCCAAGCTGACAGGCACGTGCCTTCGCGACGGGTGCCCTCGGGGTCACGGACACATGGGGTGCAGGCAGCCCCTGCACCTCGGCGGCACCAAGCTCCTGGTTCTTAAGCCCAGAACTGATGGTGAAGCTGTTCGTTAGACTCTCGCTCCTCCTGCTGGTCCAAGGCGCCTGCCTGCACCTTGGTCTTTAAAATCACTGCCTGGGGCTCGCGGGGCCACAGGCCCAGCTCCCAGCGCCCAGCGCGCTCCATGGGGCAGTGTCCCATGTGTGACAGCAGCGATCAGAGCACACAGGAAGTAGCTCTGTCTGTCGGGCACCCCCATTGAAGGTGACATCGTAGGTGTTCGGGGACATTTCTGTCTCTCTGTTCACACCCACAAAGGAAAGCTGATGTCAGCACTAGCAGGAATCCCAGGGAAAGCACGAGAAATTAGATGTCGGACAAGGCACGCAGAGCGGTCGTGGGAGGCGCGTGCGCGGTCCGGGCTCTGACGGGCCCTTTCTGGCTGTGCTGTCTGTTCACTTCTGGGCCTAACCCGCTCTCCTTGTGCAGGTGCACCCTCCGCTTCCCCAGCACGGCCATCAAGATCCAGTTCACGGCACTCTACCACCAGGAGGAGGCTCCGGCCTCGCCGCTGCGGCCGCTCTACCCCCAGATCTCCCCTCTGCGGATCCACATCCCGGAGCCGGACCTCCGGAGCCTGGTCAGCCCTGTCCCCTCCCCGACCGGGACCATCAGGTGAGCAGCCTTGTCAGCGGCGTGTCCGAGGCGGAGGGGCGCAGACGCGGCGTCCTGTGCGAGCTGTTTCTGCGGACGTGCGCGTGGGTGGGAGCCTGCTCGGAGCACCAGGACCTGACCGCTCGAACAGGCCCCTGGAGAGCTGCCCCGGCGAGAGCCCCTCAGCTCCTCCTCGGCCAGTCTGCAGTCTCGTACCTTAGGCCCTTCTAACGCGAGCACGGCCATTTTTTGACAATGGAAATATTTTAAAGTAGTGTTTGTACCAGGATTGGTGAACTCTGTGCAAACTGCAGCTTTTGAAATTAACCTAGATTTTGAAGAAAAGAAAGTCCCCAGACTCTCTCCTCTGTGGATGTTACAGCCTCAGGGGTGGGTCCCAGAGGGACATGTGTCACCAGAGGGCTGGGTATAGGGCGGTGACGGTGCCCACACTGTGACAGCCGTCCTCCGTCCCCGCAGTCCTGTGCCCTTCCCTTTGTCAGGGTGAGAAGATGCGTTTGCACGTCAGGGTTTAACACATTTTGGGTTGCTGACTGCTTCACCGGGACATTTAAAACGAACCTGGCAGTCTTTCCCCTCACTGCGTGTGTGGTCCTGAAGCCGCCGCGACTGCATGTGTGCTGGGTCGTGGCCCCGGCTGCAGGTGAGGGGCCTGTGTCCCAGGCACGGCCTCAGCCCGTGGGGAGGCACAGCGCATCTGCTGGGACCGTGGCCCCACCTGCCGGTCTGCTGCCCCTCTGCGTCACCAGGTCCAGGGCCTCTGCTCACAGTCGTGGTCGGGTGGCCCTCGCTCCCTCTCCAGGCTCACCCCTGGAGCCACGCGGGGTCCATCTCTGGGATGGTCTCGGTGTCCCTCACACGTTTGTTTTCCACCTGCCACATGTTGGCTGCGCGTGGGGGTTGCCCGCAGTCGGTCCCTCCAGAGCCAGGGAGTAGGCGTGTCTTTCCCTGCAGAGAGCAGGTCCGGGCGGCGCGGGAAGTGGCTGCGGCGCAGGCCTGGGGCCCGAGTCCCGTGCAGGAGCCGGGGCAGCGAGGCGGGTCCCTGCAGCCTCACCCGACCTGGTGTTGGTCTCTGGTTTTTGTCCTCGATAGAGCCCGCACTCTGTCTCTCTGTGTGCCGGCACTCATCACGTGGCGTCACAGTTGCGACGGCGACACGTCATATGTGCCGGCCTTGCAGACGGTGTTTCCGCAGCTCCTGTAGATTCCTGGCGACGGCTGTTCTGAGACCCAGACATTAGCTTGTGTTCTCACGCTTGACATCAGACACGAGTCTCAGGAAAACATGACTTCATGCGAGTTCATGGTTAAGTTGCACTATGAAAATGCTCTTACATTTACCCCGTGTGTATAACTTATCCGTGGGTAAAAATCACCTGTACTAAAATGAGGTAGCCACTGTGGAAAACGTTAAACAAAGTGTTGCCATGTGACCCAGCAGTTCAGTGGTCCTGAGGTCGCGGAAAAGCCTGCCCACCGGGGCTCCGGGCAGCGTTGCTCAGCGTCGCCCCGAAGCGGGACAGCTCGAGCCTCTCGCTGGTGGTGATCCGTCGGGCGTGGGCACCCTCCCGTGGAGGTGATCCGGCCACGAGAGCCTGGCTCCGGGTGGCCCTGAGAGCGCAGTGCCGGGTGAGGAGCCAGGGCGCGAGCCCGCGGCCCGCCCGCCGGTGCGAGATGTGCAGACCGCAGGCCTGCGGGACAGCAAGCGGGCGTGGGCTCGGGCGCGGGAGCGGCTGGGCGCTGACAGGGAGGCCCGCCGCTCACTCTCCGGCTTTCTTTCCAGCCTGAGGACATTTCTGGAGTGAGACAGTCGTGATGGTTACCCAGCTCTGTAGATGCATTGAAACCACGGAACTGTACACTGGAAGTGTCTGGGGTGTGCAACTGCCTCTCAGTGAAGCCGTGGAAGCAGCAGCATGCTGACCCTTTTACCCAGCAGCACCCGAGGTCCGCCGCAGGGACAACCCATGACAGGCATAGTGGGTGGCCAGCCTTAGACTGGATAGATTATTAGCAATGAATTTATGATCAGCCAGATAGATGCTTTTTAAGAAGGAGAAATGTTTGGGTTTGTACCTGGAGAGCTTCGTAAAGTAAATATCTTTCCCAGTCATGTTCCAAATGAACACAGGAGCCAGCTGGTTCAGACAGAGCCGAGCCCTGGGGGTGCGTCAGACGGGCGGCGGCCAGCAGCACTTCACTGGCCGTCGGGCAGTGTCGCTGCCCTGCTGCCCAGGCACCGGTTTATATTTAACATGCTCCTCAGCCAGAGTGGGGGGCCGCTGTCCCCACCCTGCCCCCACTCCGTCTTTGAGGGCCCCCCAGGAGGGGCTGACGTCTCATTTTCATTCGGTAAAATGTTTGCAGAGAAAGTGATGACTTTGGGACAGGCTTTCTCACTTCTGGGTCGTGAATGAAGTGTCACAGAAAAGGAGTTTTGTTGACATCTGTTTATCTTAGCGCTGCGGAATTTAGCTGAGTGTTCAGAAACCTCAGAGGCCTTGAGGTTTTGCTTGCCAAGATCCTTTTCTTCATAGGGGAGGAGCCTGGGTATTTACAAACAGCCCTGGCCTGCCCTTCCTGCTCCCTGGGACCCTCCCCAGGAGACCAAGGCAGGCTGTGCCCCCGCCCCCTTGGGAGTTGCCCGAGTGGGCAGGTTCCCAAGGAAGTGGCCCGAGGGGAAACGCCCTGGCACCCCAGCAGCCAGGGGCCCTTTCTAAGAACACAGGCCTCCGCCCAGGGTGCCCTCCCCTCACGGCCGGCTCCTAATTTGGTGTGGCTGGGTCCCGCTTGCCCATTGGCTGCTCAGTCCCTGCACGGTGGAGACCAGGTTTGGGTCGGTTCCCTCCCTGGAGCTGGTTCTCTCCTACACCTGCCCTGAGCCCCGCCTCCCCAAGATTTTGGGAGTGGCTGTACCGTCAGGGACATTCTCCCCAATAAACAGCCCCGCCCTGCGCTCCCGACTCAGCGGCCCGCTTCCCCTGCTTGGGGCCAGGGCGTGTGCCTGTGTGGTTGGGTTTTGCTGCTTTTTTTTTCACCCTTCAGCACTCCACCCAGAACATGAATGAACTGTCTTTGAAGTAAATTTTGCTATCTTAAGCAATGTTTTGTTGACTTTTTTTTTCCGTTTTGCAAAGAAGTAGTATTTATAGGAAAGAAGAAATTCGTTAACCATTTTTTAGGTATAGCGAAAACCAGAAACCAGTCTAAAAAGTGCTCCTTTGAGCTATTTTTAAGAAAACTGCTGCAATTAAATCAGAGAAAAGACACATCCCAGAAAGAGATTAACTAAATTTTACTCCTTACAGCAAGATTTTAGAAGCTGTTTCTTTAAGAAAGCTTCCTTGGTTTTCTAATGTAGACATAAAAACGAAAGTGGTCTGCTTACTGAAACTTGGCAGAGGCCAGCAGAACACGAGCTGGAACAAAAAGCAGCTGAATCCAGAATTCAGACACTTGCTATCGTGACCTCAGAGCACGGGAATGCGGACCCGGCTCAGCCCGGCCGCTGATTTTGCTTTGTGATGTCAGCTGGCTCTCGAGTTCGGTGTTACTGTGTCTGCCTCGGAAGTGCTTTTGTTTTTCTGGCAAACTCTGGATCCTTCCCGGAGATCTAACCTGCTTGCAGGTGTCTGGCTGCAGCCTTACCTCAAGAGGAGAGAGGTTCTCGGGCCATCCACACGCGGCAGGCACCCTCCCCGTTTATGCGTCCCCTGTCCCCGTGGGCCTCACACCCCCCTGGTTCCTCTCCCCATCTGCAGTCTTCAGAGGAATAAAAGTGGGTCCGTCCCCACGGAAAGGGGGGCCTCCATGTCCTCGTTGTCCCTTCTGCGCAGACTGTGCCAGGGTGTTGCTGGGCTCCGCCTGCTGACAGGCAGGGGCCTGCGCAGTGTCTGTCTCCGCTGCAGAGCTCTGGGAGTGGGCTTCCTGTTCTGGGCACACCTCAGGGCCCTTCGAAGGCAGTGATTGTTTTCTGGGTGTGCCTGCTGGGCAGTGCCCAGCCTGTGTGGGCACATGGCCACCCCAGAGAGCCCTTCCCTGACTGCACCCCTGGGATTTGGGAAGCTGGAGGGCAGGAGCCAAGGGAGGTGGAGAGGTCCCCCCCACCCCCCGAATCTGCACGAGGGTGGCCCACACCTCCGAGTGTGCGCTGGGTTAGGTCCTGGCTAAAGTATCACAAATACTGTATGTGCCTTGTGCAGACATGTTGGAACCATGAAGTGCCCCTGGGATACGGCCCAGCGCTGCCTCCTCCTCTGAGCGTGCTCCAAGCTTGGCAGCATGTGTCCTTACCTGTCACTCGTCCCCAAAAGACCTGTGGCGTTCCTGTCGCCCTGCAGCCCGGGGTCTCCTCCTCACTCAGTGTCTTGGCCTCAGGTCCTCCTCTTCTAAGCGGGGCTGTGTTCACCTCCTCACAAGTCATCTGCACATCCTTGTCTGAAGCTGCCCCTCAGAAATGTCTGAATATTTAACCAGGCCACAGAGTACTCAGATTTGGTTCTGTTGTTTAAAACATGCTCTGCAGGCCCTGGCTGCTGGCTCCGTGGTCGAGCGCCGTCCCAGGCGCTGAGAGTCCTGGTTCTGTCCGGTCAGGGCACATGCCGGGGTGCAGGCTCGATCCCCAGTACGGGGTGTGCAGGAGGCGGCAGATCAATGTTTCTTCTCTCTCTCTCTCTCCCTCTCCCTCTCCCTTCGTCCCTCTCTAAAATCAATAAAACCGTATTTTTAAAAATTACAAGTTCTTCAGGGTCAAGAGCCTCAAACTCTTAAGATCAGAAAGAAAATGGAAAGCGGCCCTGCTGAGGCGGGTACACAGCGCCCCCCACAGGCCAGGGCGGTGCCCTGCAGTCTGCGGGGCCGCCGGTGCCGTGCAGACAGCGCCCATTTACTTTGTTCCCGCCTTTCCTTCTTCTTCTGCAAGGACATTTTTGCATTTATCCTGAGGTAGAGCAGGAGGGAGAGAGAGAGGAAGCGGGAGAGAGGGAGGAAGAGGGAGAGAG